AAATTTTAATATTTCAAAGAATTTTAAAATTATTTTTTCAGCATCCGTTTTCACAAACATTATAACGAAACTTAAACTGTACAGGGCCTTGTCAGTTGTAATACGCGATTTGAACATTGGTAATCAATGTTAATGTTTTTTAAAAAAAAAAAAAACTGACTAGCAAGATTCATTTTTATCATGAAGGCTAGTTGACCATATTGGGTCTCTTAAAAATTATTCTATCAAACTTGGATTTTTTTGAAAGCATTTAATAATATTGTTTTGTTAAGTGTTAAGACAAGCTGGTTTTGGCTTTTTTGGCCGCATTAAATAAAAAAAATTCAAAAATATATAATTTAAAAAATTATTTATCAGAATAATTATTTTTAACAGGCTGACACTACGACAAGTAAAACGTCATTGGCTTCCGACGCTTAGTTGGAAACGAAGCAAAAAAGAAAAACACACACACACAGGGAGACACTTTTTGTGCTTTTCAAAATGCACAATAAACATAGGGCATTTTCTATTCATCCTTTTGCTTCCCTCGCTTTTCTTGTGGTATTTTTTTTAATCGAATGTGTATCAGATAGGTTGTGTGTATATATTGCTTCTTTCGCTTTGCCTCTTTGTGTGCATATTGCTTCCAATTGTTGTTATTTTTGCTTAATACAAATTTGGTTCAAGACTCCTAGTAAGCATAATTATGTAAGCTTTTTTGGGGAATTTTTCCTTGTAGAGTAAATACGTTGTTATAAATTTTCTTCGTGTGTTAATATTTATCATGTATTTTGCAACAATGTCAATTAGGTGCATTAGAATTGATTGAGCGTTGAAGAGTGATGACAAAGAAAAACTAAATAGCATATCAACATGCACTACTTGAAGTTGGAAATAAAGAGAATAATTTGTGCAATTTCATCGGTCACCCTTACTTATTACTAGGGGATGACAATGACAAATAATCATTAATATTTAATGTACCACAACGCTTTAACCAACAACGTTCATCCCTTCGAGGATGTAACTCCAACTTGAGTTGTATTCTTCTGATTCTTGTACTAGTTAATGTGATCTAAACTACTATGAGAAACCAACACTTAGAGCAAATTGTGTCAATCCAGCAATTCTTGGAAGATATTGATAGAGTAACAAATATGATATTTAACCTAAATACTTCTTCTTCTTCTTCACAAATTCTTAAAGGAAGATTCATACTTGGAGACCATGTTTTCTTCTTCCTTGAGACTTTGTAACTGGTGGTGATTCAAAACAATTAGGAGTTAAGAATCTTGTGTAGTAGGTGCGAAACTTGGATTGTTGGAACTCAAAGCCCATTTCCTTTTCCTTCTCTTCTTCTACCTCAGAGTAGCTCAGAGTTTTTCAGTTTCACTTCGTTTCGAGGTAAGGGAAGCTGAAATCTTGGGTTTTGATTGAAACGTTGGATTGTTGAATGAATTAAAATTTTAATGTTGATAGAATTTTTTAGATCTGTAGCTATGGGGATGGATTCAAAGGGGTTGCATGTTGAAAATTTAGGTTTTGATGTTCTTGATGAGAGGTTAAAATTTTGATGATTTCTTTGAGTTGTGGTTGATGCATGTTGCTTTTCTTGTGATTTATGAGTTATATATTATTAGAGTAGGAAAATTTTAGGGTTGCATGCCTTGATTATAGAATAGGCAGAGAGGATTTGGAGATTGGGTTGTTCATTTGCATGTATGCTTTTCTGGGTTTGGGACGTTGAGCGTGAGTTTTCACCCTAAGCGTAAGAGTTTGGAAGTGCTATTGGAAAGTTGAGGCTAAGTGTGACTTTCACGTTGAGCGAGAGAGCTAAGATGTGCCTCTGGAAGACTAAGGTTGAACGTGAGTTTCACGTTGAGTGTGAGAATTGAGATTTGCCTCTAGAAGGTTGAGGTTAAGTGTGAGAGTTAAGACGTGCCTCTGGAAGGGTGAGGCTGAGCGTGAGTTCTGTGTTAAGCATGGAGACTTAGTCAAATAAATTTATTTTCTAATTGAGTTTATTGTTTGCTTGATGAATGAGTTGTACGTTGAAAGCTTGTTTGATTTGTTTTATGGTTAAATGACGATGAATAAGTTGTAGAGATATTGTTGTATGATAAGGAATTTTATGTGTGTTGAATGTTGATAAGTTGTATGTTGGTAATTATGTTGTGAGTTGCTAGTTGAAAGTTGAGTCGAGTAGTATGTTGTGAAGTTGTCTAGCTGTGTTGAGATTCTATATGAATAATGTTGATGTGTCATTGAGATATATAATGAGTAAGAAGTTGAATATGAGTAGTGATGATTGAATTTTGAGATGTGGAGTTGTATGTTGATTTCGTTGTTGTGTTGAATAAGTAAAAAATTATTGTGTTGTTAAGTTGTGATAACCACTTAAGACTAGAGGATATATTTTTGAAAGTTGCATATCTCATTGTGTGGATATTGTGTTGTGGTGTTCTGAGAGTCCAATTTGTAGAAAACCCTTCTTGAAAAGTTGACCCTTGAAGTGGATGTTGTGTTATTTCTCCTCTAGGACTTTATTGGTGTGGGAAAGGTCGAGACACACGTGTATGAAACGACTATAGTATAGGGGTTAGGTCGAGTTATATTGATTACAAGTGACCAATCGAGTAAAGTATGAAGTTAGAAACTTAATTCCTAATCGAGTATCAGAAGGTTATAGTATTTGGAGAACAGTCGGTGGACTAATCTCATAGAAGACTTGGTTAAACTAGCTAATGTTGTGATAGGCACGTACCCAGTTGTTCTATCTTGACATTAATACTATACTCTATTGTTTAAGTGGGGACATTCGAGAAATTGAATTGTTGTGTTGTGGATTTATATCAAATTTGTCGTTGATCTAGTAAGCCCAAAAGAATCACCTTGTGTTGTCAGTTTGATAAGATTAAGCCACTTAAACTGCTCATCTTGTGTTGAGTTGAAATGTGTGATGATGCATATAGTTGATGTGTTGAGTTGATTGCATTATTCATATGTTGTGTTGAACTGTGATGAAATGTATTGTTGTGTTGAATCAGAGTTAGATTATGTTAATCTGTGTTGTATATTGTGATGCTTCGTTGCTGTGTTGTCAAAGATGAGATGATAATGTGATGTTCCTATAGTGTGTGTGTATATATATCTTGTTTCTTTTTTTTTTTCCCCTAGCTTACCCTTGCGTGTTTTTATGTGATTTAGATTGCAATGATCATACATGATATGGGTAGGGATAAGAGTGGAGTGTTGCAATGGAGGTCATATGTTGAAGTCGTTTGACTGACAATTAGTTGTATATTTACATCTACAAGATTAATGCATGTATATTGTACATATTGAAATAATCGTTTCATCCTTATATATATGCGATATGGTACATATTCTAGTATTTGTAAATACATGATCTTAAGTTAGTTATTTTTCGCTACTAGTAAATGTGTCATTTAGCATAAGAATCACAACAAATCATTATATGATAAATACATTACTAAATAATAAAAGAATCAGTGTCACAAATATACAACTCATAATTTTTTATTACAACTTATAAAATATAAAGAAATAAAGAAATTATTTAAATTTAAATTAAGTGACTAACCTTAATTTGAAATACAAATTTGAAAAGGACAACGGATGATATTTAATTTGCACCGATCTGTAATATAAAATAATAATTTTTATTAAAAAAATACATTTAAAAATAATCAACAACCAAAACACCATAATCAAATTAATTAACAAACAAAATATTCATAACCATTATTCACTATAAAAAAAATATTCACCGGAAACTTAATAATAGAAAACAATGTAACATCTAAGAAAGAAAGAAAATTAAACCGATGAAAGAATGATAAGATAGAGAAAGTGGCAATGAGACTCAAAAAGTAGAAAAAATAAAAGAAGCAAGAAAGAAATGAAACACATAAAGGAAAACAAGGAGCGGGGCTGGGTGGCTGAAATGCTCATTTTATCTGCTTCATTCGACTCTACATAACAAAACAACACATAAAATACTCCAATTTACAACTTCAAATTTCTTCACTCAATCATGATCAAATTTAATCCATTGTTTCAAAGGTTGCAACTTTTAAACAAGGATTACTTTTCATAATTCTCTCTAAATCATTTGATTTAATCAATTAAAAAAAATTATTAGGAAGTAATTTTTAAAAAAAGATTATTTCTTTCCTTTTTTTACTTATTTTCAACTTTATCACTCTTTATTTATTTATTTATTTACCTATTTATATCTTCTCTATTTCCATATACTTCATTTTTCCCCCTATTTCTTTCTATTCTATCAAATATACACAATACTATTCCTCTTTTATTTCTTTTAAATAAAACACTCTAAATTTCACTTTATTTCTTTTTTTATAATTACTTATTGCTCCCCACTTTATTTTAAACTTATTTATTTTTTCACGACCAAATAAACACAGTATTAGTGATAAATTTAAAATTTATAATTACTTTTTTAATATAAAATTATATTGTAATTTACAATATATAAAAATTTTGATGAGGTTTTTTTTATTTTTTTTATTTTTTATCTATTGACAATTTCTTTTAAAAATATTGAGGCCAGCTAGCCTTAACGAAACCAGAAAAAAAAAAATGACAGACTTAAAAACCTTAATTTGACTAGCATTTTCCGATTGTTAACTACACCAGATTAGTAATACCTTTAAAACAGTCCCGGATTGATAAATATCTTTTAAAAAGGATCCATTTAGTCAATTAGCCGCGTTTAGAAGGGTGAAAAATGAATGTCTCAGGTGGATATTGATCGTTGAATGTCACTTTCTTCATCATTTTTTTTAAGTTTCATTTTATTTTTGTCACAGGAATAGTACTTAAATACCTGTCGATCATTTGTTTTGGAATTGTGACTAATAGTGCAAGAATACAAGTGATGTGAAAACACCAATGGTAAGGAAACAGTAAAGAAAAAATTATATTATAATGGAACTCCTAATTCAACAAGAACGAAATAGAAAACTAACATCTTCAAAATAATAAGACAACAACATGCCCAAATTTAAAATGTTTAAACACTCGATGGCCTAGCCAAAGTCAGTAACAGCTTATTGAATTATTACAGAGCTCAAACCTCATCGCTTGAAATATTACTGGCAATACAAAGGGCATAGTAATGAACATAGTAGAAGAAAAGGGAAACATGGAAAAATCCCTGAATAAAAATGTATGTATGTTAAATTACAAGCTATGGAAGTCATTCAACAAAAAACCTAAGCGATATACTTTATGAAATTATAATTCAGCAATTTACAAGCATTGCAATAATGCAATGTTGAAGCTGAAAAATTAATTTAGATATGTATGAATGACCAAAATAGGACAAGAAAAATGAAGAAAAAGAAAAAAATTGATCCTACATGGGCTAATGGTGGGCTCTGGATGCTTAGCAGACCTTTCAGATAAGGCAGAAAATGAAGAATGACAATGTTTTTATAATTATATTACAGAAAAGTTCTGGCATACCTTAAAGACCTTCTCATTTTTCTTTCAACCGTATCTCTGCACATCTTCTAAGTTATATTCCTTTCATATCTCTTTTTCGATCTTAACCTTAGTCTCCCCATTTTCAGCAATATTACCAGGGATTAAAGATGCCGAAGTTGTAGCCGCGGGTGAAACAACAGATTTAGTAACACTAACACCGTTGCTAGTGACTCCCTGCTGACGCACTATCTCAGAACTGGCACTTCCAATGCATTTGATGATTGGGTCCTTTTGGCTCTCTAGTTCATTTCTAGCAAATGAAGAACACTTTGTTTCTGAAAATGAGAATAGAAATTGGTCATTTTTAACAATAAAGCAGGTAATGCAAAAATATGTCAGAGAATAATACATTTTCTACCAGAGAGAAGCCCCCAATATGTACTGGTATACATCTCAAATGACATAAGCCATGTAAAGCATAATATATGCTAACAGCTGGCTACATACTGATATACATCTCCAACCGGAGTGTCATTTGTTTTCTCATTGTAAGACCCTCTTTTGGTCATGCTCCATATCATCCTTTAAAACAGTTATGATTAACAGTATAAAAAGATTAGAACATCATCCCTAACTTCGGTGCTTTGGCTCTTCAACTAGCTTATTAACTTTGGCAATTAACCCCCTCAATTATCAGTCTAAATAACTATTGTGTTTGTGTGAAATGAATAGTTTTGATGCTTTAAAGCACAGACACTTGCAGAGGAATCAAAGGAACATAAATAGATTAGCAGTTGAAATAGTCATGCATGGGGGTGACAACAAAGACAAATGAACTAATAAAAAATACGAATAGAAGCAGTATTCATATGCTTTTAAAAGTCAGAGGGGTTAACTGTCAAAATGGAAAGGTGACAGTCTTCTTACGAAAGCCCCAATGACACCATGGGATTTATGAATATTTCTGCAAGTAAAATTATAACCGACGGAGGAAAATATTAACTTGCCGTTTATTTCTCCCATAGTGATAACCCTATTGAGAAAATCTCTAAACTTTGTTAATACAATCCTTTCTTGCTCAGCATAGACCTCTGTCATTCCTTGTCCATAAGGAAATTGTGAAGATGTATTGCGATGGGCCATTGGCCCAATGGGGGAGGCAGTTGTCATGAACATTGTATCTTGCTCATCGCACATCAAGGCTAAAGTCCCGGGAGACATTGGCCTCCCTTTTGGGACATCAGCACCGTCTGAACTGGAATTGTCTGAACTGGAATTATCGGGGCTGACTTTATCTGTTTGGTTTGCACTCGAACAATCATCAGCTACAGTCTTCTCAACATGACCTTGCTTTTGATTTGGTAATTGCTCTTGACTTGAAGAAGCAAGGGAAGTTTCCGTCTGATCTTCTGCATGCTTTTCCAATAAATTTTTCTGGTCTGATTATAATAATAACAAAAATGGGTGAGAAAAAAGTAATTAATGATATCTGCATTAACAAGGCTGAAGTCACTTGGCATGTAATAAAAAGCTTCACGTGAAAATAAAACTAGCAGGTTGTAGCCCAAAAATGCAATACAAAATGTCATGTTCCATGAACAATGGCTATAGCAGTGTTTCATGAATTGTTTCCTAATGATCATCAATTTTGACTGTTATCCTAGAGCAAAAAGTAGAGTTTGAGTTTAGTTATAAACGGGAATCCTTGATAAACCATATTAGAGAGAATGTAAATAGGGAAATTATATGTGGGACAATATTATGCAATTAGAATAATAAGGATAGATCTTATTAGAATATATGAAAAATATCTAAATATTATCTTGATTATATCTTCAGAATAATTTAGTATCATAGGGATTATCTCTTAGGATTAGTCTCCCTATTTCCTTAGTTTCCGTATTTCCTTATTATCTAATAATATGTTTCCTTATTTAGAAAGGATTTTGGTCTAGTATTGGTATAAATAAAGATTAGTGTTTTATGTTTTGTATCACATTGTAATACATCATTATCAAGTTAATATCAATGTCAGAGTACTAAGTCTCTATTCTCTCCTTTTCCTCCCTCTATACCTAAAACTCTACAATTTTCAATCTACATTCTGTTGGCAGGTAAAAACAAGAAATGTGATCACTATGATAATTATCTTGTTATAAGCATTTGCCAATCCATTGAGGGTTGTGAATTTTTTTTTTTTCTAATCCCTAGTATGAAAGCTGTTTGATTTTCGTTTTTCTACAGCACTAGGGTCGAGAGGTGGGCTTAAGAAAGCTATACCTTATGAAGTTTTTAGAGATTTTAACACAACCCATCTTGAAATACCCGTGATTGTTTCATTTATAATGCACACTCAATGGCTCAAGTGGTGGTTGGTGATGTACGAGGTTAATATATACCTGTAAGTGTCTTTGCAGCTTGTCCTGATACTAGAACCAAAACTGAGCATAGCTCCTTGAGGTGCTGTGGTTGTATAATGTCTGCTAAAAGAGATCTTCAACAATAATCAAGTCAGCAATTATGTGCGGTAAATTTATCTTCATTTCATATATATAACCAACATTACCTGTACATAAATTTTGAAGGACCTAATGTTGCAGTTCCAACACGAGCACCTGGGACAGGTGACAAAGAGGAGGAAGGTGCTGGACCTCTGACATTATTTACCTGGTGAGCATTAAAAAAAAAAGATCTATGCTGATAGTGTACATAAGTCAAGAAATAAAAAATTGCCCATCAATCATGATGATAGCTTTCACTATAAATTGCAACACAAGTCATCATGGTATTGAAACAAAAGCTTTAGCTTTGGATTTAGTGAGTTTGAATCGGTGGTGAGTTGAACTCACCATGATTTCTGGTAGCAACAAATAGATTTTGTTGCTTCCAAAAATCATGGTGAGTTCAACTCACCACCAATCCAAACACACACTTACTTGTCTCTGTTCCTTCTGGTTTAAAATTAGAAAGTTCACAAAAATAGAGGGAGCAAGTTCAGTTTAGGCAAGACTAAATTCAAGTATAAATGCATCCTTTAAATAAAAACTAGAGCTGTCAAAACGGGTAACCCGGCCCGGCCCGGCCCACCACGGGTTGAGCCTTTGGTGGGCCAACCCAACCCGGCTCGTTTATTGGTGAGCTGGAAAAAATTGAGCCCGGCCCGGCCCACCACGGGTTGGTGGGCTAAACGGGTTGGCTCACCTAATTTGAAAAAATCACCTAATTTAAAAAAATGTAATCAAATTTAATGTCTAATCCTGCAAAAATAGTATGCACATAAGCTTTTCTAGAGAAAAGTAAATAAATTCCTACACTAATTACATAATTTGAAGAAAAAATACATAAAATTGAGAACCTATGATGGTCTATGAAGTTTTATTTGGCCCAACCCAATAGCAGAAGTTTTTTTTTTTTTTTTTTTTATGGGCTGGTGGGTCAGCCCGGCTCACCACAGGTTGAACCCGGGTCAGCCCGGCTCACCACGGGTTGAACCCGGGTGAGCCGGGTTGTTAGTGGGCCGGGTTTAAAATTGGCCCACACTGAAATTTGCAAAAAAAATTTAGCCCAACCCGGCTCGAACCCGTGGTGGGCCGGGTTGGCTCACCGGGCTGAGCCCATTTTGACAGCTCTAATAAAAACGATAGTGATGTCAGCTCCTAACAAGAACATAGTTATGTGACTAAAAATAGTTATGTTGACTGGACTAACTGTTCTATATTTCTCTGATTTAATCAATGACTTAATTTAAAACAAACCCCTGTACTAGCATGACTTGTGCTATGAGCAAGTTTTACCTGTTGTCCCAACTTGCTAACGGATGGATCCTTGGTTGTAGGCCAAAAGAAGAGTTCCTGACCTTTTCTTTTCTTGGATACTGGTGGCGATAAATAACCAGAGGAACCAATAGCTCCAGTTATGGCAGCATTTGCCGCTTGCTGAATATATGCCATGTTATTTTGATCTCCATGAAACAGAGCCTGTCTCTCTTCACTTCCCTCAAAATTCTTGCAGTCCATGCATTTACAATTTTCAGAACAAAGAATGTTGGCTTGGAAGCATTCACAGTACTTCTTGAGGCACCCAGATTTCTTACAATGACACCCCTTGTTATGTTTTCCTAATATTAAAACTTCCCCAGTCTCTTCCTACATTTATTTCCAGTCAGATTGTCAAGACTAGGAAAAAAAAAAGAAGAGAGAATAGAATGCAAAAAAGATGTTGTTCAACACATTTTCTTATACAATGAATATTAGTGTCCAGAAAGCTTTATTTATCATTCATGTACAGAATACATGAAAGCACTAGCCAAGTAATTTAATGGTAAGCTCCTGTTTTTCCATAAAAATATACCATGAAAAGTCCAACTTCTTGCAAAGACATACTACAGTTTAGGAACATGATTGAAAAAAATATTACTTACCTGAGTTACTTCTGCCAAACAAAAGCAGATGTAAATAAGGGAACTAAAAACAATGAATTGGTTTCATCTAGAAGAAAATTATTTTAGTACATTGACGAGGAATAATTGATGAAAGTTATAACTTCAACTAATAAAAATCAACATAGTGAAAAGGGCATGGCCAACAGTGACTAACACACCCCAAAAGAATATTTAATATCAACAAATTTTGTTTCTAGAAAATTGATTTTTCAGTCATATGCAAAAGGCTTAATTCCATGATTATAAAGTATGGAATGTTGCACCTAGTTGAATAGCATTTTTCACTAAGTGAAAAAAATCGCATGGAGAAAGTGACCTCCCATCATATACAGAACATATCTATTTGCTTTTTTTCCATAAAATTCCACAATGAACATGAAGAAAAGATAATTAGAGTAATGTTGGAATTATCAGCACAGTATTCACAGTATGCTCCAAAAAACATAGTTGAAATTTTTATAATCAATGTAAGCACCATATCTAAACTGATCTCATCAACAAAAAGTAAAACATTATATACAACACTATCAGTCACAAAAAGTTAGAATAAAGTACCCTGCTATCATGTGTTCCATGAGGGCTGCTTGCAATTTTGGGCCTAAATGCATTTGGATTGCGCTCTAAGGTAGCTTCAACAGCTTCTCGTCTAGAAGCTTCATTTTCAACATTATTGAAACAATTTACACAGTTGCAACCATCACAATATATTCCTGATGCAAAACATTCACAATACCTGCTCAAGATACTTCAAAAATTAGCTTCATATAGGAAACAATAAGTTGCAACAATGAAATGTCCTCAGTTGAAGGGACAAAAAATGACTTAAGAGTCAAGACAGTAATTTTTTTACACAATACGCTTTCAGATCCTTTTCAAAGAAAAATATATTGTTGCACTGCAATGGTTTAGCCTAACTTTGACGATAGAACTGACAACGTTATCAAAGAACTATCCAGTTATATGTGTATTCTAACTGATGTGCTAGGTTGTCAGTTGAACTGACTCAGCACCTTGTCGGTCTGACTCAGAACCCTCTCAGAGTTAGTTAGCCAGCTGTCATTCTGTTTGGATACCCGGAGTTAGTTAGTAGCTTGTAGTAGAAGCATACTGTTTCAGCTTCTAGTAGAAGCTATCTTAATTAGACTAACATTTCATTTTTTCAGTTTCATATAATTCTATCAGTTTTCTTTCTCGTGTCTCCTCTAAATTCTTTAATATGTAATATAATAAGGGATTTGATGGTCTAGAGTGATATTTCCATGTTCCCTGCAATTTTTGAAGTATTCTATATTAATGAATCAGAAAGTTAATCCCAAAGAAATAGGATGGTCATGCTCAACTCCATGCATAAATGATGAGTCACTTATGAAAATTCCTTTTTCGTTAATATGAAAAAAAAAGAAAATAAATTTCTGACAATAGAAACAAGTTACTAATATACTATGAAGGCCAACAAGACCACTTACTTGTACAGAACTGGTGATAGTTACTTAAGAACAACTTTTTGCTTTTCATAGTTAATGTGAGTACATGTGCACACACGTGGCACGCGAACATACATTTTCCAATGCGTGCTTATAGCCTTATTCTCTAAAGACACATGTTCAAGGGCACATGCACGCATGGTTGTCAAACTCACATGCCAACTTATAACCTCTTGAGTTTATTTATGATCACAGACATGCAAATCTGTTTAACTCACTGCTAGAACCATTTTCTGGTAGGCTTGGTCGAACTTGTGTAGAATCAAACATGCTTGAAGAGTGAGTCTACAAGTTTGATTTGCATTTTCTAGTAGTCTTGGTCAAAAGTAAACACTTTCAAGTTGGAGAGCAATAGTGCAAGTCTACAATTCACTCCAATTCAGATCAAAATGATGTACTTTCTTGTGTGTTTTGAGGTGCGATTAAAACCCATTATGGCTGGGTTTGAACATCTTTCATGATTGTGTCTCTGCTCTATGCTTAGTTCTTGCGTTCAGCTCATCCAAGCAGCCTCTCCTCTGCTTACAGCTTTGGAAGGGATACCAAACTTCAAACAGCACCATGCTCTCCTTAGTTCAAAGGCTTCCAAGCTTTGTTTTCCTCTATTTCACCTTCAAAGCTTGTGTTGCAGATTCATTCCTCCAAGCTCGCCATGAGCCATTTTCCTCACTTCATTTCTTCATTTGTGAATTGTGATTTTCATGAGCGTCATTCTTCCAAGCTTGTGCCATCCTGAATTTATGATTTGTGTATTTTTGTATGACAGTCATAAGACTCTGTTCTCTATATCATATTTTTGTATGAGCCCAAGCGTTCAGACTGATATAATATGATACGTGTCCTAAATTATGTTCATGCATATATGTAATCTATAGGTTTTTTAATATTATTTTTATAATTAGGTAAACACTTACGAGTTTACAAATTGAGTATACAGAGGCTCTACCAGTTTGCACAAATTCTAAAGTTTGACAACCTTAGAATCATATTAAAATCATATTAAAATCTCCCATTATTTTGTCTTCATTTTCAAAGAGAGAATTTTGCTTACAGCTTTAAGCATTTAGAGTGTTTACAATTGCACTGCTTTTGCTTCTTTGGAGTAGCATCTTTCATTTCAAAGTTAGGTCTTGATCTTGATTTTGGAGATTCTGGTTTCCTGAAAAATTAAATAATAGTTAATGGAAAACCAAAACATACAGTTTGAGCTACTCCATGAAGACATTTGCAAAATGCCACGGTCAAAGCAGATATCTTAGTATTTATTTACTCCCAAAAATATCCATCAATTCAAGCTTGTCAAAACATAAACATATACTCTGTATCACACTCAGTTTCACGCACCATTCATGATTCAACCAAAACTTCAAAATGATTTTCTACAACTAGGAAATGCTGGTTTCACTTCAAGAAGTAACTTCGGAAATATATAAGCCTTACAATTGTGAAAGGTACAGCGAAAAAACATTCATATTGTATGAGAAAATACTTTGGAAGAAAAAGCCACATTATTCACATCATGTGAGAAAATTCTTCAGAAAAAAGAGCCAGACATAGATTGTTGTACAGAAAAGAGAAAACATTATTGATGAAAGCATATGATAAAATGGCCCCCCAAAAGAAAGAAAAGAAAAAAAAAGTACACCTTGCCACGATATGATCGAAATTGAAGAAAACAATATGCATAATCTGCATTGACCATAACCCTTGCTCCCAGCCCAAAAGGAAAATGAATAGAAACTTCAATTGACAAGTATTTTAGTTTCAAAGGTAAATAACATACAAAAGGCACCAACTTATCCATAACAAAAAAATCTAGCAAGTATGGATACTTCAAAATGTATGCCATAGTGGCATTAGTTGCATCTTTTTTTACCAATTACCATACTTGATGAGTAGATACCTCAGCTTATTGACAAAAGGTAATTTGTATCATTATGCAAGGGATAAGCTAAAACAAAAACAGCAATAACCAAAGCCTTCCCACACTAGTTGGTTCAGCTACTTGAATTGAACAATGCCATTATGTTATCTTCAAAATCAATTCTTTAGAGAGATTGTCTAAATCTAGATCCCTTTTATTTGTTTCACCGAATCTTTCATGACTTACCACTACCTCTAATTATTGGTATATCCTCCATCTTATCAACTCTTCTAACTAGACTGTTAGTCTTTTTATCATGTCCAAACCATCTTATGAGTAATTCTACCAAATTTTCCTCAACAGGCACTACCCAACTTTCTCTCTAGTACTTTAACCCCTAATCTTATTTTTTCTTAAATGACCAAGCATCCACCACAACATTTTCACCTCTGCAACACTTGTTATGTTCTTGTTGGCTGTTTCTCATCCAACAATCAGTAGCATCGAGCATTGCTAATCTTTTGGCTGTGCAGTGAGATTTTCGCTTTAAGTTTGAACACTTACAACCACAAATCCAGGTTGAGCATTCTTTCATTTTAATCCACCCATTTGAATCCTATTATTTACATCTCCCTCTATTTCACAGTCAGAAAAATAAATGAACATTTTTTCTCCACTTTTACCCCTACCATGCAGGGGCCCAACTAATGTCTTTTAATTATGAAGTTCTATGATGCTTTCATTTTTTTTTATATTTTTTTATATTTTATAAGATGATAATGATACATATAAGTTCTATGTTGTATCCTATTGTACCCATATCCAACCTTTCTAACAAATTTCACATCTCCTCCACATCACACCCATGCTGTATTGGGACTTGTACATATATGCATGTGTGTCATACGTTAGAATAAATTTAGATTACGTACATCTTATAAGCGTATCCCAGCCATTAAAAGCTCAAACCCAAATGGAAATTACTATAAACAACTTCATAAATTATGCTTGCAAAAACACATACACTCCTACAGTTCAAAAGTTCCTAACTAACTGATGTAAGCTACTAGTTTAGATAAACTTCTTCATAAGCATTTATAGGAGAAAAAAAAAAGGTGAATATATTGGACTTATTCCATATACTAAATTCAACATATGTACTTGACTTTAAGTTCTCTCATCTAGTTTTTCCAAAATCTGAGCTTCGTAAGTTGATTTAAGCTTATGAGAAAGTTCGATTCATTTTACATTCTTATTTTATTTTTCTATATAGGTGTTTAAGAAAAAGTTTATCCAAACATGGACAAAAATCAATTTAAACTTCCTGCCATCTTATTCCCACAGGAGGAAGAAATTACAGTTGCAGCGAACCAATGAAAACACGTGAATCATATCGGAAGTAAAAAGACCGGAAATGATTGCCAAAATTGCCATTTTCTAACAGCAAACGATGACATTACACATGCATTGAAAGCCCAGCTCACTCGAGAACTAAAATCATCCAAACAAAACAGTGATTCCCGTGGTAAAACCGCTACCACAAACTAATTCGAAAATTAAAACCAACAAAAAAGAAATAAAGGAACTCCGTACACGAGCCTCCAATCCACAGACTCTCAAGTGTTCCTAAGAAGCACGGCACACGATTAAAACTTCACTTCAGACACCAAAACAAAAAACAGTGCATAAATCATTTTCAACATTCAACAAGTCACAGTTTCAACCAACTCACCCAATCCTCACATGAGGCGGCTGCGGAGGCAACGGCTGCACAGCCACCGGCTGCTGCGGTTGCGACTGCTCCGGCGCGCCAGTGAAATCGAGCTGCCGCGCCAGCTTCTTCGCCGGAACTTCCAACGACGA